CGGACCATGACACAGAGCCTTGATTATCTCATCAACTCCATGGACCGCATGCACACAAGGATGGTTGTCTATGAGACTCGGCAAGAGGAACTTTACACCCGTTTTGACTCCTTTGAGACTCGCCAAGCGCGGATGGAGGAGCAATTCTAGGGGTATGATCAAAGGTTTGGGGACTTCACCCAACACTACTACAACCAATATGGGTACCTCCCTCCCGATCCACATCATTAAGTACCCCTTTGTTGTTATTTTATAACATTACTCTTCTCTAAACACACTTAATCGTGGATGTTGTTGGAAGTGTTTGTTTATCATGCATCATACATTGGGACAATGTATCTTAAGTGTGGGGGGTGCATCTCAGGGTGGTTAAACAAAATTTTTTGTGCAAAATATTTTTGTTTTTAGGAAGGTAAAAAAATTATTATATCTCTCTTTTTAATGGGTATTTGGTTGAGAAAGTTTTTTTATTTACTCACAAAACTATCATTTTTTTAGATTCATTACACTACTTGTTACGCTTGAAAATCATTCCCAAAAAGAAACCTTGTGACTAGGAAACATCATCCTATTTCATTTTCAAAAATGGTCAGAAATTCATCTCAAATATTCAAGAACCATTTTGGAGTACAAGCCACCCCCATATCTCATCAAATAATTTGGGACTATCAAAATGACTTTCAGTAAATACTTGTTGAGAACCATTCCAACTGAGTTTAAAACAAAAAAAAAACTCATGGTCTCTTCCAAGAATTTCAATTGATCCATTTCCATACTGAAAAGTCAGAACCTCCATAAAGAAAACCATCCTACACATCCAAAAAGCCCCAGTCACAACTCACTCATCAATTCAAGAGTATCAGTAACTTTTTCTAAATCTAATGATATTGTTGTGTGTGTAATAGAAAAAGGGGTTTTGAACCGAGAATGATAAAAGAGTTATATATTTTTTTTACCTCTCTCAAAATTGAAAATATTCTTGTGCATATATTTTTGTTGAACTAACCAAAGCATCCAAGACTGACGACATTGCTCGAGGACTAGCAACGCTCAAGTGTGGGGGAATTTGATAAGCACAATAATTACTTATGTTTTACATAGGTAATTATATTTATCTGTACAAAAATATAGAGCGAAAATAGAGAAATATTCCAAAATGTGCAAAAATGTGGAATATGGCTAGGAGCGACAAATACGGGGTCAAAAGTCAAAAGGGGTTGAAAATCGGCACTTCTGGATAAATCACTGGCATGAAATTGAGAAGATGAAGAAGCAAGTAAACATTTTGGTGCCGGTTGGATCTTAATTTCCGGAAAAAAATATGCATGACCGACGCTGGTCAGGCCAGAACCGGTGCCGGTTGGGTCTGATTCTGCTAAAACACAGCAACGTGCAAGACGATTTTTTATGGGAAAACTTCCTCTTCCTCAATGCTAATCAAATATTGCTTCCATAGCTGATTGTTGGGTTCGAATAGACTAAAAGATGCCAATCTTTAGCCTATATAAACCCCTCATTCATCATGCAAAAGACATTCTATTCCATAGAAGCTATTTCTCTCCTCTATAATTGGTTCTAGGTAATTTTTTTTGTATGTTATTGTATTTATTTGTTCTTAGTTACACTTTTGTAATTAATATGAGCTCAAGTAGCTAAATTCTTAGCTAAGGCTAGGGATGAACTTCTATGCCCATTAGATGTTTGATAAAAGTTCTAAATCAATAAATTGTGATATATCTTTAATATATTGATTGTTTATGACTATTAAATTTAGTTTTTACTTACAATTAACGTTGAATTCTAAACTATGAACATTAAAGGATAAACATATATAGTACCGAGAATAGAAATATATCTGGTCTTATATGATACGGGTGTGATGTCTTGATATTCAACGGGGTTTTCGGTAGATGAATGTAAGCCGTAACGGGACTTACACGTAACGAAAACCACGCTCTTGCTGCCTTAACCGGAGTTGAGAATATATTAGCGACATCGTATTCATAATTATTGGCAAAGAACTAATATTCAACCCTATTAAAGCATTTACGTGATTCCCGAAGCCTTAGTTGTTGTTATCATTCATCTTAAACTCAAATTTAGTTAACGATTATCTTTTGAACAAAAAGTGAAAAGCCAAAAATATAAAACACAAATCAAAATCCATACTCTTTAATCATTTATTCATTTAAAGCTATCTACTCTCGGACTTGAATTAAACGACGTTTCCTTGTGGAGTCGACCCGGTATTTTACCGGAATTTATTACTATATCGGCACTTGTACACTTGTAAGTTTAGCCCGGTCAAAACTCAACAATATCCAACACGTTGAACTTCAATATGCAGTACAAATAATGTAAAGATGCACTCTTTGAATTTCAATATGCAATACAAATAATGTAAATATTAAACTGCTATTTTATGGCTTGAATAATGTGAAACACTTTGAACTTCAATGTACAATACAAATAATGTAAAGATGATTTGAATGGGAGGACTAGTTTGCATGTGATCTCACCCCTGCATCTTTACATTATTTTTACTGCATATTAAAGTTCAAAATGCTGAATATTATTGAGTTTGTAGGTTAGTATTTTAAGCATGATTTGTATTTGATCTCTTTTATATATATATATATATACGAAGTATATTGTTTATGCTTAAATAAACTAATCTGTCAATAGGAATTGAATGGAAATTGAACAAATATAAATCCACAATGATCTGTTTTAAGAACAAGAATAATAATTAATTGATATTGAGTGAAATAGCTCGAAGTGTTTACACAAGTATTTTGTCGTCTATCAGTGTGTTCTACATGAACTCCTAACCAGTCTATATATCCGAAGGCCTACTCCGTCCCCATACTTTGCAACTGCCGGACGGAGTTTACCTCCTATTTCCGCGAAGTTCGTTCCAGTTGATGCTATCTCTTCCTTGAATTGCCTCCTGTTTGGACATTAGCCCGCGAAGTCTTGTGGTTTTCTCCCTTTCGGATTTCCACGTAAAATAGCTTGTTCATACATTTACTTAGACAATGCATACATTTTATTAGTGTTTCATATTGTATTAAACTCAACATTGATTTACTTAGCTATCCGTACTTTAGATATTAGCTTTTTCCCTAATGGGTCAGGTATAGCCCCCTCATTAGGCGCTTATTTGTTTCTCTTTTTGTTTTTATCTGTTATGGTTGGATTGTATTATTTCTGAGAGGTTCTGACTTGGTCCCCCTCTCATCTGTATCTTTGATTGATTAATAAAATATGATAAATGTTCTCTGGCATTTATCACACTGATTTTGATGGTTTGCCTTCCGGGTTAAAAAAAAGATACGGAGTATGAAGTTTACTATGCATCAAAACGTAGTTAAAGTGCAATTTGTGGAGCTTGTTCAATCTTATGCACCTTTCACTTTGTTGTTTTAATTTGTGTTTTTCAAATTAGAAACTCTCTTGAATAAATTATCTTAAGATTGAATAAAAATTCAACGTGAAAACATAATTGTGAAGTGGATAAAAAGTCATGCACTTTTGTAAGAATTATGTTGCACCCAATACACCAAAATGCACCTCATCGCAAATGACATCATTTATCTATTACAAATGCACTTTGTTGTTTAACTAAGTGCACTATACATGGCACATTATGATCTTTGTATACATTATATACACTTTCAATAATACAAATTTGTATTTTTATCTTTAAGCAAAAGAATACTTCCAAAAGTGCAATTTAAGAACACATAAGTGCATCAAGGTCACTTTAAATTATTGTGCATTTTGCCTCATAAGTGCAATTTGTGAAGCTGCTTAAATTTATACAATTTAAATAATTTTTTTATTAAATTCAATACTTGCTTAAATAGTCGGTCTTAAGATTGACAAAGATAAATTATCAATGCAGAAAGAAAATTGTGAAGTGATTATAGAGTTATACAATCAACACATGAAATATAAAAGTATATTAATAGGAAAAAAAACGATATATGTGAAGACATTATTTCCTATAAATTGTGGAGCACTATCGGAGATAATAGATAGCAGCATTAATTTACTGAAAACTCCTCATTGATGCCGAATGAATCTCGTTGTAATACTTATAGTATTGGTTTGATCCAATGGTCCCTCATGATTTTCTCACATGAATCTCTGTCCAATTGAAGAACCTCTGTCCGAACACTTCCTATTGAAGCAGTTCCTTGTGTACAATTTTTGTGAAATGTTTTAGAACATTTTCTTCATTAAATGTAGACAATCCACAAAATTTCAATTTAAAATTCGAAGACAAAAAGGTAAATAAATTATTGAAAAACACTAGATTTTATATATATATATATTGGTGCAGTATTTTTTAATACTCCCTTCGTTCACCAATAGATGGCCTTATAAGGTTTTGCAAAAGTTTTAAGAGAAAATAATAGGAGTATTGTAAAAGGTGTAGTGAATTGTGTTTGAATGAAAAAGTAGGAAAGAAAGTGAAAAGGTAGAAAAGATAATGAGGATATATGGGTATATTTATTGGAAAAAAACTTTCAAAAAATGAAAAGGGGGACAAATATTAAAGAGTAGCACAAAATAGAAAGAGAGACGCGTATTGAAGAACATAGCCGGTTGAATTTTACGTAGGGAGTAATTTATTTAACTAACTCCCTGGTTGAATTTTGAGCTAAATTTTTTTGGATCTAAACTCCACTGAGAACCATCCCAAATGGCAGCACAGTATTTTTTAATAATTTATTTAACTAACTTTCCGATTTAATTTCAAGCTAAAATCTTGTGGTCATATTCTACACTTTATGAAAAATGTGCTCAAAAAAATTCGTAGAAAACTCTCCACAAAATTTCATCTTAAAATTCAATCGAGAAGTCAATTAAATAAATTATTGAAACAATATGCACTTTATGTATATATATAAAATGCAATATATTTCAATAATTTATTTAATTGTCGTCTCGGTTGAAATTTAATCTGAAACGGGCTCGGCCATCTGGTGAGACGCAGATCACGCCTCTTAGTTATAAGAACATTTCAATTATTCATTGTACGTTTATCATTCAAACATGTAAATTCATTGTATGATTATTGTCTGTGGTTACAATCAGTCATCTTTCATTAAATAAATTGTTCAAATACTTTTCCTTCCCTGCCAAACAGGTACTACCGTGTTTATGATGAAAACCAATCTGCTAGTCTCCTCCCTTCTACTCTATTCTTCCTCCGTCCTCCACTATTAAAACTCACAGTCCGATTCATTTCCTTAGTTGAACCAAACAGACAGCAATTTATGAGCACTTCTCAGGTGAAGTTTACAGGCTGCAAAAATGTAGCCATTATTATTGTAATTGTAACTGAACCAAAAAATGTACAAGGAAGAGAGAGATAAATTGTCTTAACAATAAATCATATAATAATAACACATATCTTACAGTGATTTGATACTTGAGAGCAGATACTCAAACTCTAAAGCGCTTGATTTACCAATTTTACATGTTAGAAGAAACGCCACCGTAAGCAGCAACAGGAGGAGGAGGAGGGTATGCGTCCAGTTCGGCGTATATATTCTGCTTGTTTCTCTGCTTTTGAAGAATGGTCCTTCATCTTAGCCTCAGCTGAAGCTCTCTTCTCCTCAGCTTTGCGCCTCACTGATGATAGCTTCTTCATTACCTCATCTTGGGATCTTGTCCTCATCCTTTCCACCTCCATCTGAAAAGAAAAAACAACAGATGTTGGCAATTAGTTTATATTTATATATACCCATATACATATATAATATGATCAGGTCTGGGATTTAGCAGGTTATACATATCCACGAGAGTCGGACGAGACAGGTGATTTAAGAAGGTATAATAATACATGTAATATTTAGGAAAAATTGAAAATAATAATCCCAACTATTGTCGGTCCGCTAACAATAATCACAACTATTGATTATTTTTGTATAATCCCAACTATATGGACCGTCCAACAATAATGGTCCATGACCGCATATTACCTGCTCCAAAAAGTGAATTTTTAATACAAATTAAGCGTAAAAATGAAAATTTGAGATTATTTATAGGGATTATCTGCTATATCTTTTTAGAAACTATAGAAATTTATTTACAGTCGGTCACGTCGGACCATTATTGGCGGAAGGTCCCTAAAGTTGGGATTATTTTGAAATAATCGATAGTTGGGATTATTATAAGCGGACCGCCAATAATTGAGATTATAACAATCAATTTTTCCTAATATTCATTGATACATGTTTTGAGTGCATATTCTATGATCAAATACTAGTTAATGTTTATACATCTCAAAAACAAATAGCACATATCCCATAAGCACAACAAAACAACAACAATAATACCTCGATTTTTCTCATCTCAGCCTCTGCCTTAGCTATCTGATGATTCTCCCATGCTTGTATCTTCATTTCCTCTCGCTTGAATCTAATGAATACATCAAACTTAGCTTTTTATATTGTGCTGAAGCTGTAAGTTTCTATTAGTTGGTGGAAATTTATTTACTTATAAAATCACATCAAATATTATTTTTCACCATTTTCACATTATTAATCTATATACTTCGTTTTACCAAACTAAAACCAATTTCGGAGTTACGTGCCATGGTTCCATGCATAAACACAAATGGAAATCGTGTAGGCATGGCTATTATTGTGCTACTTAATGTTCACATTCCACAAAAAAAAGGAAAAATTCCCGAAATAAGAGTAAAAACGTTTTAGAATTCCAAAAAAGGACTGTCATATTTTTGTTCCCTAAATAGGACCAACTAATGCCAAGTTTGGAAAATTCTATCGTGTTCAAAGTCTAGTACTGCCAAAACATGGAAGTAATTACTCATATTTCGGAAATAAAAACATAGTTGTCCTATTTTGGAATTTCAGAACGTTTTTACTCCTATTCAGGGCAATTTCTCCAAAAAAAACCGTGCGGGGGACAAAAATATGAAAATAATAGATATGCATTAAATCCTAAGGAGTCTAAAATTACCACCAACCTGATCATCGTTAATTAAATGCGTGTTTCCTGTTTTTCTTGGGTCATTAGATGACTAGCTGATGTGTTTCACCGGACCCTATATTACGGCTAGGAACCAGGTTGGCATTGATACTATGGCTAAGACTTGAGGCTTCATCCTTAAAAGTCAACATCATAGGAGAGCTAGTCCGAATCCTTTATATTGATTTATATTTGGAAAAATTGATTGTAATAATCTCAACTATTGGCGGTCCGCTTTTAATAATCCCAACTATGGATTATCTCAGAATAATCCCAACTTTTGTGACCTTCCGCCAATAATGGTCCGACATGATCGGTTATAAATAAATTCCTATAGTTTCTAAAGTGGATGAGAAGAGATATAACAAGTAATCCCTATAAATAATTCAACTTTTAATTTTTACACTTTATTTCTATTTAAAATTCACTTGTTATAGCAGGTCATATCTGGTCATGGACCATTATTGGCGGAAGGTGACATAAGTTGGGATTATTCTGAGATAATAGATAGTTGGGATTATTATAAGCGGACCGCCAATAGTTGGGATTATTACAATCAATTTTTCCTTTATATTTTTATATTTAACTGTGTGGGACACAGTAGAAATTTTAAACAGAAAAGAGAAAAAACCTGGCCAAGTGTTTTGCATTCTCTGCCTCCTCCCAAGCTGCTGCTCGAGCCATAATGACAATATCAGGTTGTTCTGCCCCAACTGTGGGTTCGTTTTTATCATCACCCTCCTCATTGCTAGCCCAGGCTGCAATATTCATCTTACCAAGTTGAGTTCCTAGAGCCATGATCTCTTTCCTAGTTTTCATCTGCAATTCCTTTTCAAACAGCTCCTTTGCGTGAGGATCATTTGAGTGGTCAAGAAGAGCAGAAGAGCATGGAGGAGTTGATGTTGGACTGCAAGTTGGAGTTGTTGCTCTAACAGGTGTTCCTGTCCTGGAAGGTTCTTGGCTTGCAAGTGGAGTCATTTCTGTGCCCATATCTCTCATAGACACAGACCTAGCTGTTGAAGGTAGTGGCACAAATGCCGTCTCACTATGGACGGAAACACACGAGTCATGCTGGCTCAGATTGACTGCAAAATGAAAAGATACAATCATGATATCAGTCTACTGTTTTGTGTTCTATAGAGCAATAATTTTGGTAGTAGCAACATAGTCGCATAGAGTTTTGTTTGGTAATATTTCATGTTTCATACATTCATGTTTTCTAGAGGAAAGTGATAACCTCTAAGGGTATGCTGATTTAGGAGGGCTTAGTCTATATCTTGATTATTAGAGTGTTTCCGAAAATGAATCCAGTGTGATTGAAATATTGTATTATCACATATTATTTTATTCCTTCAAGCTTTATATGATCTTAAATATATATCAAAACATACACTGGGCCCTTCAAAACCGAGCTCCCAAACTAACCCTAAGGGACTGTTTGAAAAGAGGATTTTGAGGGGTTTGGAGAGTGTATATTCATTCGTATATCAGAATTGAATAATATTGAATGGGTAACATAATAGGTGATCATATAACATTTCAATCACCTTTATGGCTTTATATTTTTAGATTTAGAAATGTTCTGATTTATACTACTATAAAGTATAGACTAAGACCTCCAAAGTCTTATTCACCAAAGCACTCTAAAACCATACACCCAAACATGCCCTATGTTGTTGTGTGGATGGAGGACGATACACATGGTCAAATAAAATAAAAAACTACGGAATCCAGATATAGACTATGATAGGACTCCGGCTATTATAAATAAGAATAGATATGGTTTAGTCTATTCTAGAAAGAAGAAGTAGTTTATCTGTTTGGCAGGCGGGTAGTTGTTATGAACTATTAACTACTTTTAGTAAGGAGTGGGGGGCTATAAATAGAATAAACCAGTTAGCAGTTAGGCAGTCTGTTAGATGCTTGGCTTGGGACTGGGAAGTTAGAGTCTTATCTCTAGCTTTGGGACTATTGTATTGTATACCGCCATTAATGAAGTTTGTGGATTGTTTCAAGTTCGTATTGTATATTGTGGATTGCGAACTGTTCTTATCATTGGTATCAGAGCGTGTTTGATCGCTGGATGACCGTGACGCGCGCAAAGATGGAAAGCAGATTGACGGAAATAGAAAGGAGCCAGCGGGAGATGCAAGCTAGCTTGGAGAGAAATTTGAGGGAGATGCAGTCAAATTTCACTACCGCTTTGGCCACGATGCAAGCTAATCTAGCGGAAATGCAGAACAGAAACTCGGATAGATCACGAAGTCGTTCGCACCATTCGAACTCTTCGCGTCGATCATCACAGAGGAAACACACGAAGCGTGATGATAGTTCGGAAGGTTCTGAAACACATTCTGATCACTCTGGCTCGTATCAGGATCGCGAGCGCCATAATCAACATCGAAATCCTAATAAAGTTGGACGGAAAATCGATTTACCGATTTTCAACGGAGAGGATGCTTTTGGTTGGTTGATGAGGATGGATCGTTACTTCAGGTTGAATCAGACTGATGAACGTAACAAAATTGACCTGGCAGTTCTGGCAATGGAGGACCAGGCACTTAGATGGTTCCAATGGTGGGAAGGTCAGACTCGCCATATGAATTGGGAGACATTTACGAAGGATTTGACTACACGCTTTCAACCAGAGCTGGTACAAGATCCGTTAGGACCGTTGTTCAGCTTAAAGCAAAGAGGAACTATGAAAGAGTACAGAGATAAGTTTGAAACCGCCATAGCTTCCCAGGGACATCTAACGGAGGAGGTTCTGAAAGGTGTGTTTCTTAAGGGACTAAGAAGAGATATCAGGGCTGAGCTGAAGTTGTATACTACAAGAACCTTAGCTGAACTCATGGGCCAGGCTTCTCTTATTGAGAACAAAAATAATGAAGCAATGTTGATGAAGAACAGAGAGGAAGGGAAGAAAAAGGGGCTAAGTAAGAACAATGGCTCAAATTCTCAAGCAATTTGGGGAGAGGGAAGCAGATGGAAAAGTATTCCGAACAGTAACCCTAACCTACCAAAGAGTCATTCAGATTACAGAAGCAATACGGACATCAAGGCACCTAATATGAGTAAATCAGGTCCCAGGTTATCCAGAAGTGAGCTGCAGGAAAGAAGTAGGAGAGGTTTATGTTTCAAATGTGGAGAGGACTGGGGCAAGGGTCATATCTGTAAAATGAAGAACTATAAGATGATTCTAGTGGAGCATTCTGAAGGGGAAGATGAATCTGAAGGAGAATTAATGGAATGGGGAGAAGAGGAAGATACTCACGAACAACTTAAAACAATGCAACTTTCTGTTTTAAGTAAGGAGGGTATTCCATCCATGAAAACATTCAAGGTGCAAGGTGTGTTGAGCTAGGATGATGGGAAACAAACTGTGAACATTCTGATTGACAGTGGGGCAACACACAATTTCATAGCGCAGGGTTTCATTGACAGATGGGAAGTACCTTTTATGCCTATACAAGGAGTGAAAGTGCAGATTGGCAATGGGGATCTTATACATAATAATGGCAGATGTGATGGAATGCAGCTGGAAGTACAAGGAAATACCATACAACAATCATACTATATACTGGAATTGGGGGGCACAGATATTGTTTTGGGTATGGCATGGTTGACTGAGTTGGGAGACATGGAAGTGAACTTTCAGAAACAAGTAATAAGATGGAAACAACAAGATAGGATAAATTGTATCCAAGGGGAAGCTGCACTGAATAATTGGGAGGTTCCAATGAAGACTATGCTTCAGATTCTGCAGAAAGAAGGGGATGGATATTTTCTTTATTATGGAGGGCAGTTATATGGTTTGGAACAGAATACTAAGGAAGCCAAGGTTTGGAAGGACATCATTGCTGAATTTCCAGAGGTGTTTACTGATCAGTTGAAGTTTCCTCCTACTAGAGACTGTGATCATGCCATAAACATCCAAGAAGTAGCTAGTATACCAAATCTGAGGCCCTACAGGTACACTTTTGATCAGAAAAATGAGATAGAGAAAGTAATTGGTGAAATGTTAAAAACAGGTATCATTAAGCACAGCAACAGTCCCTACAGCAGTCCTATCTTATTGGCTAGAAAAAAAGATGGTGGTTGGCGATTTTGTGGTGATTATAGAGCCCTGAATAAGATCACTATACCTGATAAGTTTCCCATACCAGTTATAGAAGAGTTACTAGATGAATTGGGAGGAGCAGTGGTTTTTTCTAAACTAGATCTGAAGTCAGGTTACCACCAAATCAGAATGAAGGAGAGTGATACCTGTAAGACTGCTTTCAGGACACATGAAGGTCATTACGAGTACCTAGTCATGCCATTTGGGTTGACTAATGCACCTTCCACTTTTCAGGCTCTAATGAATGAGGTTTTGAGACCTTTTCTCAGGAAATTTGCATTGGTATTCTTTGATGATATACTGGTTTACAGCAAAACCAAGGAGGATCATAAAGAACACCTCAAATTAGTCCTGGAAGCTTTAAAGAAGAATGATTTAGTAGCCAATCAAAAGAAATGCTCCTTTGGTCAGGAGCAACTGAGTTATTTGGGTCATATTATTTCTGCAGAGGGGGTGGCAGCTGACCCTAGTAAAACTAAAGCCATGGTAGAATGGGGGGTACCAAAAGATCTAAAGGAGTTGAGGGGTTTTTTGGGTCTTACTGGATACTACAGGAGGTTTGTCAAGGGCTATAGTCACATTGCTGCTCCATTAACACAATTGTTGAAGAAGGATGGGTTTAAATGGAGTGATATGGCTACAAAAGCTTTTGTGGAATTGAAGAATGCTATGTCTTCTTTACCAGTGTTGAGAATCCCTGACTTCAATAAAGTTTTTGTAGTAGAAACTGATGCATCTGGAAGGGGGTTAGGGGCAGTACTTATGCAAGATGGGGGTCCCATTGCATTTTTGAGCAAGGAATTAGCACCTAAACATTTGAGTAAATCTGTTTATGAAAAAGAGTTGATGGCAATTGTGTTTGCAATCCAAAAATGGAGGCCCTACTTACTGGGCAGGAAATTTGAGGTTCACACTGATCAAAAAAGTCTCAAATACTTGACTGAGCAAAGAATCATGGGAGAGGATCAACAAAAGTGGATTGCCAAGCTTATGGGATACAATTTTATCATTAAATATAAACCTGGTTGTGAGAATAAAGCTGCAGATGCTCTGTCAAGGAAATCAAATTTGTCAGCCTTATCAATTGTAAATTGTCAGGAATGGGAAGGATTAGAAGATGAACTGTTGGAAGATCCAAAGTGTGCTGATACTATTCAGAAGATTCTAAGTCACCCGGATGAAATGGTGGATTTCAGATTGAAGAAAGGGTTATTATACTACAAGGGAAGACTGATGATACCCCAAAATTCCCCTAGAGTGACAAGGATTCTTCAGGAATATCATGATTCTGCAACAGGAGGACATTCTGGCAATTTCAGAACTATGAAGAGGATTTCCACACTGTTCTACTGGGTTGGTATGAGGAAGCAGATTCAGCAATATGTGCAGAATTGTGATGTTTGTCAAAGAAACAAGTATCAAGCTTTGAAACCTGCGGGGTTGTTACAACCATTACCTATTCCAGATTGCATTTGGACAGATATAAGCATGGATTTTATTGGTGGATTGCCAAAAGCTCAAGGGAAAGACACTATCCTGGTTGTGGTTGACAGACTAACCAAATTTGCACATTTTATAGCTTTGTCTCATCCCTTTAATGCTAAAGGAGTTGTTGAAATATTTGTCAAAGAAATAGTTAGACTCCATGGATTTCCAAAATCCATAGTGAGTGATAGAGACAGCATTTTCTTGAGTTCCTTTTGGTCTGAGTTATTCAAACTGGCTGGCACACAGTTGAGATACAGTACTGCGTATCACCCTCAATCAGATGGCCAAACGGAGGTGGTGAATAGGTGTTTAGAAACCTATCTGAGATGTATCACAGGGAAGAAACCTAAGGAATGGAACAGGTGGTTACCTTGGGCAGAGTATTAGTACAATACTAATTACCATATTTCCTTAAAACAAACCCCTTACCAGGCCTTATATGGGCAAGAACCTCAACCGATTATAAAAGGAGATGTGGTTATGACTGCTAATGATGAAGTGGCAAGACTGACAACTGAGAGGAATGGAATGTTAGCTGAACTCAAAGAAAATTTAGCTAGTGCCCAGAATAAGATGAAGCAGCAAGCAGACAAACATAGGAGGGAAATGAAGTTGGAGGTGGGTGAAAAAGTTTTCCTGAAGATTCAGCCCTATAAGCTGCAGAGTTTGGCTAAGAGAATCAATCAGAAATTGAGTCCAAGGTTTTATGGACCTTTTGAGATCATTGAGAAAGTGAATGCTGTAGCTTTTAAACTGAAATTGCCAGATGATTGCCTGATCCATCCAGTATTCCATATTTCTTTGCTAAAAAAGGCTCTAGCTCCCAATACTTGCTATCAACCATTGCCTAAATGTTTGAGTGAAAACTGGGAATTGTTGGTGAAGCCAGAGAAAGTGGTGGATACCAGGGAGGGAACGGATGGCAGAGTTGAAGTTTTGATACATTGGGAAGATCTGCCAGAATTTGAAAGGTCTTGGGAAGATGTTCATGTGCTGAAGACACAGTTTCCAGACTTCAAGCTTGAGGACAAGCTTGTTTCTTTTGGGGGGAGTATTGATAGGACTCCGGCTATTATAAATAAGAATAGATATGGTTTAGTCTATTCTAGAAAGAAGAAGTAGTTTATCTGTTTGGCAGGCGGGTAGTTGTTATGAACTATTAACTACTTTTAGTAAGGAGTGGGGGGCTATAAATAGAATAAACCAGTTAGCAGTTAGGCAGTCTGTTAGATGCTTGGCTTGGGACTGGGAAGTTAGAGTCTTATCTCTAGCTTTGGGACTATTGTATTGTATACCACCATTAATGAAGTTTGTGGATTGTTTCAAGTTCGTATTGTATATTGTGGATTGCGAACTGTTCTTATCAGACTAAGCCCTGAAGCCCTCCATCCAAACAGAACCTACATGGTTCAGTGGTTGTGAGTTGTGACGAATAAAGACCATACACATGTTCAACATCAAGAAAGTTACATAATTAATGTCCTGGAATCCAACATATGCATAGAATGTGACCTTTTCAACTACAAGACAAATGCCAAAGCCAAAGGCATGCAATGCAGTCAAACCACATGGATACATGCTGTCAATTTTACCAGAATTTGAAATGCATCAAATATACTACCTCCGGTCCCAAATAAACTTCACACTTTCCTTTTTGGGCAGGTCCAAAATAAACTTCACACTTCTATTTTTGGTAAGTTTTTAATATAAAGTTACCCTTACCCTTACTTTATTACCTACTTTACACCCACTTTCTCTCTCCCACTGCATCTAATTTACTTTTTGAGGGATATGATGGGAAAATCAAAAGCAAAAGTTTCACTTTCTTAAAAACCGTAAAGTCAAAGTGTGAAGTTTATTTGGGACCGGAGGGAGTAACTGTTTTTAGGTTTGGAGATGACATGTCTTAAAGTATAACTATATGATCAGCGCCAGAAGATATAATCTTACTTGCTGATTCTCTGATACAGTTTTCAATCACAAGTGTCTCCTTTCCATATGATTCAGCAACCGGATGTGATTCAGATTCCCAGCTCACATACTTTTGCACCCCATTGTCCTTAAACTGGTTCGAATCGATCCATTTAGTATCAGCAGGTTCCTCAGAGATAACCGTTCGCCGATCAGAAACATCAGAGACGTGCTTGGTTGACTTTCTTGACCCCAACCCACATTGAGTTCTCTGGCGGTTGGAGGTCGGGCTAGCTATCCACTTCTGAGCATCATCCCATTTGGACGGGGCAGGTTTTGAGAAAGGTACACCCGGAGGAACTCTTTGTGCCCGATCTGCCTTCTGAAACTCAAAATTCATATCTTGAGACCTAAATATGGAAGTGGCTTGTGATTGATCCTTCAATCTATTATCCTTAACCATTGAAGAACCAAATCCCCAGTCTGCTGAACACTCGTTTAGCACACTTACAACTGCCACATCTTTGCAAATCTCTGAACTGACTTCTGATACGCCCATTCAAATTATATGTTTAGCTAAATACCACATTAATTTGGGTAAAAATCGGGTCGTGATTAACATTCAATAGCCAAAATGCCAACAAAATAATAATAGTAGGATAAATGGAAACATAAACCAATTAATGGATACTTAGGCTTGTTTAAAACAGAAATCTAGGGCAGTTTGGAAAGAATCGTCGTTATTTCTGTTAAGGTAGGGATCTCTTCCCTGTTTTCTTTGGAGTTTTAAATATAGATGGCAGATTCCTGCATAAAATTGTCTAATAAAAGTTTTTTGGATTTCTAGAGTGTATATTCATCAACTTACATAAAGAAGAGAAAAAGGGAAAGATTTTTTCCCCTTTTTTACAATTTAAAATGTCAGCATCCTATTTCAAATTTTAAAAATAATCAATAACAAAGATTTGGATATATTCACTAAGGTTCATCATGTATTCGTTCAGTTATTGACCTTAAGCTTAAAATGCATCTCAAAGAAAGTGGTACAATATAGACAAATAGACAGATAAAATAGAATAATACGTAGTACAAAGCAAGATAATGAAGGAAAAGAAAAAATCCCCCGAAGTATAGACTATAGACCATATAGAGTGCAGGAGAAGACAGAACAAACCAGAATCATGGATCTCAGATTCGGATCTCAGAGAGGTACCAAGCTCTGGGTCTTCTTCTTCCTCCTGCTCTTCAGCCTGGGGTTTTTTCCTTTTCTGTGTCCTCGACAGCATACTCCTTAGCTTCCTCGGAGACAACTGTAGAAATATGTAGATGAATATATGGAAAATGTATAACAGCAATTCTCTAGCTAAAAACTGCAATTTTCCACAACAAACAAAACAAAAAACTTATTCTTGAATTGACAGAGAAATGAAAGAGTGAAAGACAAATCTCCAGTTTTGTTTCTTGCCAAGGGCAATGTGAAAAACAAGAAAAGGAACGAAGTGCTTGCGGGTAAGCAGCTCCACTGACCTGTAGTTGACCGGTGCAAGTATTTGGTTTTTCTATTCTTTCGTAGCATTCCATTTACTAGAGGCAATGAGGGAATTCCGCTTCTTCTCTGTGCTTGAGAAATTGGAAGAGAACAAGCGAATCTGGCAATGGCAAATGGACAAAATACTGAGTGAAAGTGCAGTGAGTGAGGAGTGGGAAGAAGTAAAGGGCAGTAACGAGCCTGCCCTACCCGACCAGTAACGAGCCTGCCCTACCCGACCACGCTCTTCATGTGGAGTGTTGGGAATTTGAATCTTCGGATTGGAAAGTTAGAAACTTTTTATCTATTGTCACAATCATCCCGTAGATGACGCCCTCCCATCTGGGCGTCATCTACGGGGTGATTGTGACACTTGAGGGAGGTCTGTCCCGTACAGACCAATCTCATCCAAGAGACACTTGAGGGAGGTCTGCCCCGCCTCGTCTTGCAAATGGGGCGGGTCCGTCTCATCTCGTACATACAATGAGGTGGGTTCGAGTATTAGTATTGACTCGTGCCGGCCCGTCAGAGCCCTGCCCGCACAATATATAAACACGAATATATATGTATATATGGTTAAGTGGTAATTAATGAATTCCTTAATCTTTTAATATATTAATATTTATATTTTGAACTAGATGAAAAGTTAATTGTGAATGTATTTTTTATATTTAGCATTTATATATTCATTTATTCATAAATAAATAGTTAACTGTTTTAGTCTATATTATTTTTTCTTATTTTTTGAATTTTTTTGTATTGTGACTTTGATTTATTATATTTGTTTTTAATAATTATTTGAAGATAAATTTTATGTACAATTTAAGCTACAATGACTTCACAAAACTAGAAATGTTAACTACCTATTAGATTATTGCAGGGCGTGACACCTAGTTATGTCACAGGGCGGGTCCGGATCTTGCACTACCCGGCCCGGCCCGAGCCATTGTCATGCCTAGTTTGCTTAGACATGGCAATGGGTCGGGGCGGGGCAGGTACTGCAACACCCGCCCCCGCCCCATGACTTCACTTGGTGGACCTGCCCCGCCCCATAACGCGCACGGGTCCAAACTCCAAACTTGTTGACCCATGCCCCCCACCTCGTAACCTAATTAGCTACTATGCATTTCAATTTGTGTGAAGTTGTTACCATTTGAATCTACATCAAGTTTATATTTAAATAATTATTAAAAAGATAATATATTAAATCAAAATCAAAATGCACTAAAAAATTTTAAAATTAAAAAAAAAGTACTTAGACTTGAATAGTCGATCTATTTATATTATAATAGAATATATAAATTAAAATGTTATATAAGACATTGATAATTCGTCATTCATCTCATTCAAATATTAATATATTATAGGACCAAAGAATTTATGATTTATTATATGCGCACATATGTATAACAGTATAAAGAAGTATATTTGTAGTCAAGGCTGTAGATGAGGTTGTGCAAGCTGGGCTACTACACAGGGCCTCCAAAAATAGAAATCACATTTTAAAAAAAATTAAATAGTATATATATAAAGTAAAGAAATATTCAGGTCCGGAATTCCGGACCAGAAGCGCCGTCTGGACGGTGGCGTTTCAGCGTCTTCCCGGTTGAATTTTTTGATGAAAGTTTTATGGCATGTTCTTCATTAAATCTAGTTTATCCACGAAAAAAATCAGCTAAATATTCAATCGGGGAGGTTGTAAAATAATTTTTGGAAGTTAATTGCGTTTTATATGTATATTCCGGCGCAGTTATCTTTCAAAAATCATATGACTGCCATCCCGATTGAATTTTTAGCTGAAATTTTTTGTGGATAAACTACACTTGATGAAGAACATGCCATAAATATTTCATCAAAAATTTCAAATGGAAGGGCCCCAAACACCGCCGTCCGGACAGCGGTTCCGGTAAGGAACTCCTGACCGGAAGAGTACTCTATAAAGTAATTGTTTAAATTATTAATAGGAGCCCATTTGCATTTTTGAAACACCTTTATACATCGAACGGACCAACTCCAAATAAAAGCAAACCATACTGATGGATTGTCTGACCAGGGGTGGCTGGAATCCACTGAAAATGAGAATAATAGGGGAGAGCGAACTGATCGGAAAGTGCAGATACTAGACCCGGCGAAAAATGGCAGTAGGAGTATTGAGAGTGCGATTGATTCAGTATCAAGCCTCTCTTTCCATAAGTTGGAAGGTGATATTTATACTAAGAGATAAAAGGCAATACTCGATGCCCAAGCAAAAAGATGATAGTCTAATAGGAGAGAGACACGTGTAAAGCTACTCTAACAAACTAACATCTTAATTCGATGGGGAGCAGTCACGTGTAAAGCTGATTGGAGAGAGAATCTTCAATAGCTGGCTGATTGGAGTTTGCTTCTAACAGAATTGCTGCCAGAAATCCTGTGTGGCCACGCGTGGGTAACCGAGAATATTCCCTGGTGTTGATGGTGACGTGGCGACATCTCCTCGTGAGGCAAGTCCTTGCGGATTTTGTCTAAGTCCATGATTCTTCACTCAGACCTTGGGGATTACTGAGGTCGATATCTGGGAGCTCGGGCTCGTGATGAGAGGACTCGCCCCTTTGTCCTCTGTTCCCGCCTTCGGGGTAGTTGTCTGCCTGGCGCTTATTGACCATGTGTTTGACTCCCGGGGTCAGACCTGGTACCGAGCTCGGGTGTCTCGAGGTTGGGCCCATAAATGGCCGAGTCTAATCGATTCCTGAGCCTGGTCTTTTCCCGACCTCGGTGGTCGAGGTCGGGGTCGGGCGACTTCTCGATCCTTAGCTTATTTTGTTGACTGGCGCTTGTTCCTGACACTGGCTGGTCGGGGTCGGGGTCTGTATAGTTGTGGACTTAGTCTTTTCGTGTACCCCGGAATGGGTCCGTGATGTTTTATACTGGCGATTATGATACCCCTGGGGTATACGGGAATATACTCCATCACATACGTCTACACATTAGATCTATGCATTTTATTTAATAAAAGACATCATTGGTGTGATTTGCACCGGGTCTCTTAATGTGTCAAGCCGGTCATGTTTGTAGTATGATTTAAAAAAGTGTGTGTACTTATATATTGAGCGTGGCGGGGCGGGGCGACATGGGTCAATAGTAATACCCGGACTCGCCCCATTGTATAGGCGGGTGGGGCAGACCCGCCCCAAATGTCTCGGGCCAGGGCGGGTCATTGCTTGCCTAGTTAAGCTTGTCGGAAATGTCCACCCCGTTAGATGAGCTGAATTTGGCTGGCCAACTTCATAGGCTATGACCGAATGACCATGTCACACAGCTTGCATATATTGTTACTCCCTCCGTCCTGTTGAAATGTTCCCGCTTTCCTTTTTTGAATGTCCCGTTGGAAGGTTCCCATTTCCCTAAATGGAAAGTTATCCTACATCAAAACAGGGTCAAACAGTGCAAAACAGTGTCAAACAATGTCGAAACAGTGCCAAACAGTGTCGAAACAGTGTCAAAACGGTAAAATTTATCCCCTGGTAAGTTTATTTCCTTAGTATGTGTGTAGGTCAAACCGGGAATATTCCAATGAAACGGAGGGAGTATTATTTTAAGCCGTTTGGTTATAGTAAAATTGAACGCCACAATAATATGTACTTTCATGTACAACATGATCCACTTTTATAAAATACTCCGTATGGTTAAAGTCTTAAAGATATATTCACCCGGTAAAGATTTATAATTAAAATTTTACTTTTGTTATGATAAATATTTTTTTACAATTTTTTTGTGTGCATATTTATGATTTGAAAAGACAAAGATTCGGATGTAAAAGTTAATAAAGTAGGAGATTTATGTGTTACATCAGACCTATTAATAAAAATTGAAAGATGTAAAAAGCTAACCATGAAATCTTAATTTTAGGTCTGGAAAACCTCAGGCATTTGAGACATCATATTTTTTGAACTTTATATATGTAATATTAGTATCATGTAAAAATCATAAATAGTTGAAATTTTGATACATATTTTTTTGTAAAAATGGGAGTTCAAATAAAAAATTATAACACTTTAAAAAATTTAGAATGTATTTGTACATAGGCCACTGTTTTTTTATAATTGGCTTTTCACCCATCTCATTATGAAAAGCCTTGGAGATTCATAATGTACAATGTACTACTACTTACGGCCTCCATAACAAAAACAAATCTTCTCACTTTCTTGTTTCGTCTGTAACAAAAAAACTTTTCATTTCTAAATCTTCATATCATACCCTCAATAATTTTGATAATAATGCACTATTATAACTACTTTTTTGAATTTATCTTTGATTCCATTACACTATTCCACTATTTTCTCAACATACCCTCAATAATCTATATCCTCTTTCACTCTTCTTAATATAACTACTTTTGAAATGAGAACATTTTTATGTTAGAGAGGGAGTATCTCATATTAGCACATTATATTAATAATGTACTTCATTATGTACTATTTATAGATTCATAATTTCGGGTCAAGGAACATGAGGCAAGTTCCCTCGCAACCAATCTAAAAAAATGCTACTTTTGTCCCATTTTATGTGTCCTACTTTGGTTTGGCATAATTATTAATAAAGGGGTTGAAAAAGTAAAATTTGTGATTGAGATTTGAGTATAATAAAGTGAAATGTTGTGGACAACTTATTTCTTTCCAAAAAGGAAAATGAGACACTTATATTACACGGTGCTTGCTCGATCTAAATTGCAAGGATACAAGTAATGAAAATAGTAATAATACCGATAAAATGAAAGTATATAAGTGTTGGAGTACCAACGAGACTATGCAATTGTTACCGCTAGTCGGGGGTGGAGACAGAGAGAGGCTGGAGGGGGCCTTGTTCCCCGCAAGAAAAAAAATTCTTAAGTATATATTATGTATAAATACTTTAATATAGAGAAAATATGTTGATATTTTAAACTTTGGCCCCGACAATGTAAAATTTTTAAATCTCGGGCCTCTTAATCATAGATTTCTGGCTCCGTCACTGCCGCTAATTCTTACTTTCTTCTTCGGACTGTGCTTCTTTCCTTCTATTCTTTCCATATTGATCATATACAGCCTTTGTTGGCCTCCCCCCTCTATCCTCTCATGAATGGCAGCCAAATGAAAGGAGAAGATGTTTTTCACCTTTATCCTTATTATTTTTAATTGGAGTCGGGTTGATATGTCACTTGAGATGTCAATTCATTCCTAACCCTGCCTATTATACTTAATAAGATGGTTTCAAAATAT